TATATCATTTTGTAACAAAAAACAAGATCGTTCTATCTATCTTAGAAATATCTTAGTAGAAAATTGCTCTGTGCTTCAAAAATTATAAGCGAAGTTAAAAAACAAAAAAAAAACATGAAAATTTGCAAAAATTTTCTACACCTTTGGAAATTTGCACAAATTTCTACCTCATAAAATTTCCTGATGGCCTGTACTTGTAATTAAAATAATCATCTATTATTGTTACATATAAAACTTTTTATTTTAATAAGTAAGTATTAAAAATAGTACTAAGTAACTATAAAGACAAGAGGAAATTATATATTATATAAAATGAACAGGCCTATATAATTAAAATTGAGAGAATTCTGAACAATTAAAATTAAACAAATAAAAATTTTAAAATGTCAATTATTCACTTGATTTTGATGATATAGATCTGTTCTTTTTATATGATATGCAATTTATTCTTATATTAAAGTTACTTAATATCATTTTTGATATGCACTTATAAAATAAAAAGTTTTATATATGTCAATTATCGATAATTTTATGTATCCTAACTTTTATTAAATTCAAAAAAGTAATAAAATCAAATACTAAAAATCAGATTCAGATTTTAAAAAGTTGAATCTGTATATGATGAATTTGAATCAGATTTGAGGAGAATAAATATTGAATAGATCTGAATATTGATAAAAATCTAATCTAATCTGACTTTGTGGAATCCTACTAGAGAATTATCTATACTAATAAAATAAATGAAGTATTACCTATCTACTATACTGTAAACCTCTTTTAAACTATATAATTAATCTTTTTTCTTGTTTAGATCTATAAACAGTATTGTGCCACCTGTTTTATCCAATTTCATTGCAAAATATAATTCTAAAAATAATCAAAAAGTAACATTTAATACTTGAAAACATCCAAAAATCAACTAAACTAATAAAATAAATGAAGTATTACTTACCTACTTTACTGTAGACTCCTTTTAGCCTATATAATTGCCTTTCTTTCTTGTCTAGATTTATAAACAGTACTACATCACCTGTTTTACTTGATTTCACTGCAAAAAAAGATCAAAAGTAGTATTTAATACCTGGAAATACTAAAAAATCTTCCAAATTAATAAAATAAACAAAGTATTTTTCACTTACAACTGGTAGACTTCTTTAGACTATATAATTCCCTTCTTTCTTTTCTGGATCTATAGAACAGTACTATGCTACCTGAGACACTAGTCCTAATTTATAACTCTGTAGATCTATAATTACCATTTTTTCTCATCTAGATCTATAGAATCTGACTTAAAAAAATTATTAAATTAAAAATTAAAAGATTTGCATACACACATTTTTATATTTTTTTTTAAAAATTGCATACCTCTGGCAAGTGCTGAAGTTCCACTAGGTTAAGGTAATTTGAAAAAATCTTTGTTCAGATATTACAGAAAAACTCAAAGTGTCTTGTTGATAAAAGTTGAGATTCACGCTCAATAACAAAATACTGTTGTGCTTTTTCTGCGCATCTCGTATGGCATTTGCATTTATATTTATAAAATTAGAACTGAACTTTATTGTTATTATCAAGCCTTATTTGTTACTTCATGCATCATTTCTGCAAATAAATCGCTTATTATATTTACATTATGGTCTCTTACAAATTGCCCATTTATCTTGTTTGCAATGCTATTTCTAAAATCCATCCTTCTACTACCCAATATTCTGAATTTTAATTTTTTTGTTCATTGATTAATAATCGCAAGTAATCATTTGACCACATATTTATCCAGGCCCAAGGGGACACGTTTCTAACTTATCAAAATGATAATTATTTTTTTATTGTACCTTAACTGAGAGTTACAAATTTTGATTACTATATCTATAATTATTTTTTTTTGATACGTATATCTTATCTTTCCCATTTTCAATTCAATCATGAATCTACTTAACATAATAAATAGTACAAACACCTTTTGCTATTTGAAATCTATCAAATTGGTTATACAATAATAATTACGTTAAAGTTAATTACGTATTGCAATCACATAAAGAGTAGTTCAATCAAAAGAGCCAACCATTTCTTAAAGGTGCTTAAATGTTTAAATCTTTGAAACTTAATTTTTGCACAAAAGCATATAACAATTTTTATTTTTTCTTGTTGGTATTGAATAATAAACAACAACAACAGAATTTCCTTAAGATATTAAGATCATTTAAATGACAAATGGTTTGGAATCTTAAAAAGTAAAATTTTCATTTGTTTTCTTCTTTTATGAACAATTAATTCTCTATTTTCTTTAATATAAAAATTCTTAATTACAAACCAAGTTAATTAAATTAATAAAAATGTGATGATAAATTCATACTATACTCTATATAGTATTTAGTGTCAAAATTATTTATAAAATACAAATTATCTTTTGATACAAAGATTACAAACTAATATATTGAATTTTTACAAAAATATTTATATCATAAAAAATAAAAATAATAAAATGAAAAAAAAAATATTTATAATATTCAGAATTCATCAATATCATCATCTAAGAAAAAAAAATGAATTAATATAATTAATCAGGAAATAAAATAAATACAATATATAATGATTATACATATTTGAAACTTACTAGTAATTATATGAGAAAAAGATTCTGTTAATTCTTCAAGTTTTTTTTCAAAAATTTCTTCATTCTTAGGTTTTGGAAGATTTGAAAAGTTGAGAAGTCTACTGGTATAAATAGCTTGGGGATGTGTTTTGTAGTTAAGTATAGTTGTAGTCGTTGTATCCGTTGATGTTTGATTTGCAGATAATTCTTCAGCTTCTTTAATTTGAATTGTAATTTCATTATTATTATTATGTTTATTTTTGTTATAATCCCAATAGTATTTATCCAACTCATCATTTAATTCTTCAAAAGTGGGCCGACAGGTAATTTGAGCATTCCAACATCGCATAATTACTTGTGTAATTAATTTTGGAATATGAAATGGAATTTTTGGTCGTAATCCATTGCATATTTTCAAAGCTAACTCTTCATCATGCGGCACATCAGAATATGGTTGAATTCCAGTAATTATTTCATAAGCGATAATTGCAAATGAATAAACATCAGCAGCCTTTTTATATTCTTCCCCACATAATACCTCAGGAGCTATATAGGGTAATACTCCAAAAACATTTCTCTTTTGAGAATTTTCTAAATTTTTTCCAATTAATTTACTTAACCCAAAATCCGAAATATATAAATGATATCTATTAAAGCTATATGATAAAATATTTCCAGGATGAAAATCCTGATGAATTATATCTAATTTATGAATTTCTTGAAAATTATTTGCTAAATTTCTTAAATAAATTAATTTTTTTTGCCATTTAATATTTTTAAAATTATTATTTAAATAATTTCTAAGATTTCCACCTTTTAGATATTCTATAACCATCATATGTTTACAAGTTTTTGGATCTTTTGTAATTCCATAAAATGAGGTCGATGAAGATGTTTTCATTATTTTCGAGTGAGTTGCCATCTAAATATTATATATTTTTTTTAAATCATAATAATAATTAATATATTATACATTTTCGAATAAATTTTCAAATTAATTTAAAATATTAAATTACCTCATTTAAGAAATCTTCATTAATATCTCCAATACCATCAATCTTTTTTAATACAACTTGACGTTGACCTTTTCTTACCCATTGTTGATTTTTAATATTCCAATTTTTTATATATCCATCGATCCACTCAGCATAATAAATAGTACCAAAACCACCTTTTGCTATTTCTTTAATACCTTTAAATTTTTCATAAGGTATCCATTCTATTACAATATAATTCAAATCTGAATTTAATTGGGCATCTTGAATAAACTTATCTATTGTTTCATTTCCACTTGTCCATTTATCAAAATCATTTTTGAAATGTTTTGAGTTGCATGGTTTGCACCAACAACCATAATATTCTTGATTACACTCTTCACATATATGAGGCGTTTTTTGTTCACTCATAATAAATAAGGTTAAAAGTTTTTCAAATAAATAAATTTACGGCCGAATTTATATAATGTAACCTCAGGTCAGGTTATCAACTTTGTGCTACTAATCGCCCTTTCTAATCGTGAAACAATTCACGAAATTATCATTTTAGATAAAGATAATTCCACTGTTATTTTGACTATTTTAAATTAGATTTAATATCACTTTTTATTGTTATGTTTTTTTTTCATTATTTATTTACATTACATTACTATTCCACCCACCAAATATTGATATAATGTGTTATTTCTCTGATTATGAAGCGAAATATATTAATTGAATTTATACAAATATGATAATAATAATTCGTGCTCTATAATTAGTGTTAAAATTTTATAAACACATTATCTCTTGACTAATTTAAAATGGAAAATATTTTTAACATTTATCTAAACAAAAATTTTCTACATTTCTAGGTTTTAAAAGAATTTGAAAAATTAGGAAGTCGACTGGTATAAATTGATGTATTTTTTTTTTTTGCAATTAAATGGTGGAGTTGTTGTTTGATTTTTGAAAAATTATTTAGCTTCTTTAATTTGAATTGTAATTTCATTATTATTTTCACGATAATCTTCCTTGTATTTTTCCAACTCTTTCTTTAATTCTTCAAAAAGTGGAACGATTATTTTCGTAATTAATTTAAATGGAAAACCATAGCATTTTTTAAAAGTCAAATCTTTATCATGCGACACATGATTATTCTATTATTCTATTATTCTATTTATTCTATTTATTCTTTATTATTCTCTCTTTATTATCCAATATTTTAGCTTATCAAAAGGTAAAAATATTCTTTAATGAATAAAAAATATTATTATATTAGCATTATTTGTTTATTTTTATATTGGCCCACTATTAAGCAATAAAGTTTCATCTATTTAATCTACAGTTTATACGTTTCCAGGAAATAAATTTTTTTGAAATGATGAAGAAAAAATATATTAATATCAATAAAAAATTGTTTGCCTGACAATGAATCATGAATCCTTCCATTCTTTCATAGGATTATCAGTCATGCAATACTTAAACCATTCTTTAGAATAACCACGACGTAATAATTCTTCACCTATTAACTTATCATGATCATTTAAAAATTTGTAATATTTTCTTTTCTCTCTATTACACCACCACAATAACTAACTTATCTCTCTCCAAATTATCACGGAAACACCCCCATGGCCTGCCTATTTTTCTCAGCCTCGGTAACAATCAAAAATTTTTCAGGGCCCTTTCCATGTTCAATGGTATATTGATAATGGAATTTGGATTACTCCTAGAAATTGAGAGTTGTGTTGCCAAGGATTTCTGGAGACAAGTTTTGACATATAAAAACAGTGTGAAATGATGAACTTCAGGTAAGAAAATAAAAGTACTTGATAAATCAAATATTCAAACTAACAATTAATCAATTTATCAATTCTAAATGTAACTCAATATTCCCGATAATTTTTTATTTATGATATGTATTTATTGCCACCCGCGAATTATATAATCGGAACATATTAACGTTAGAGATGTTATAATTTTTGCTGCGATATTTATTTATATGCGTAAAAGCTCGCACCAAACCTCAACTCCAACACTAATATCATTAACACAGATCGTATAAATTTTTACGCATAACAAAAAAATTATACGTAATAATAAAGCAATAATAATTTGATTTTGTAAATCATTAAAATATATGTTTACTCCACATCTTAATACATGTCTATTCCATTTCATCTTGTGCCATTGAATTGTACTAATATTAGTGTCTACGAGCAACTGGAAAGATATGGAAACTGGAAAGATATGGAGAATGAGAAGGGCTAGCCGTTTTGGGTGTTGCCATCCTTGAATTGACGTTGGAATCTGAATTTTCTGGAAAGTGAGGTCCAGTATCCGGAACAACAATAATCATAAACTCGTATTTGGATAGTAGGGTTGAACATATGCAATTTATTTATCATTATCACAAATACCAGTTTTGTTATAACTATTTGATTTAGCCGATTGTCAAGAAATAGTTACATAGGAAATAAGATCCCATAACAATGGTGGTAGATTTGAATTAATAACAAGATATCACCTTTGATTAAATGTTGGTTTAGGGTTCCAACCACTAGCATCAGGTCGAAACTAATTACTATTGACCATACAAATTGTATCAATCTCAACTAAAAACTTTAAGGATGGTTGACTAAGTGAATTTGCCAACTTCTTATGTATTTTTTGCTTTCACTCCACCAATAAACTGAAAAGTAACAAAAGATTAGTAGAACTTTATGTCTTATAACATATAGTATATGGAAGAATTGGGTTGCGTTATAAAAAAATCAATTAATTTAATTCAAGATAATTCAGAATCAAAGGTATTAATAATGTATTTTTATTTTTTTTTGGAACACATTGTATTTTAAATTAAGCCAATAGCTCGTTTCTCTTAGGTGATTAGCAAAATTGAAAATGAAGTTAATGAAGTACATGTTCTAAAATTTGAATCGCCACCCATAAAAACAAAAAAACGGGATGAAATTTTTGAAATGATCCATAATGTTTTGATGCTGAAATCATTGACAATAAATAATTATTCTCTTTACTGTATGACTTTCAGATAAAATATTTACTAATGCTTTTTAATCAAGAATAAAATAGTATCTTGCTTTTACTACCTGACTACTAACTCCATACCCACAATTCCTGAAAATGTGGTTTCCACTGCACTTTGAAAATTTAGCAGAATTAAATAAAAAAGAATGATAAAAAAACAAAAATTAAGTTATAAGCAAATTTTTATTGCCTACTACTGACTTGTAATAAATTTGACTAAAATAAGTAGTTACGTATTTGCTGATCCTAGAATTCAGATTCCGTTATAATAATAGGTGTATATCATTCTGTCATGATACAAAGAAAAAAAATGATATATATAGGCTATAACACTTATCTGCAATTTAAATATCAAGCTACAGTATATAATAAACTGTGGTCCGATCCGGATATCCATACAGATAATCCGCAGACTCCATAGTTGCTATCCGTGACCGTATAATTGATAATAATTTAGGTTGTGAACTGATAGCAGTTACTTTTATTTTTTCTTGTTCTTGCACTTTCTTGAGCCAAATTTAAAGATTTCTAGCCTTCCGGACATTAATAACGGATATCTAAAATTGTTATTTTTTTGTATCCTTCCCAAAATACCCGATATCATAAAATTTTAAATAATGCAAAACAAGTTTTGTCTATTATAATTGTTAAAAATTTGGGAGTATTTTATTAAGATTATTTTTTGTTGAGAAAGAAATTTTTAATTTGTGGCATTTGAATTTATCATAAAATCTAATTTATTATGAATTTTGGCCATATTAATATTGAATGATCATATTTATAATTTAATAATTAATCATTTAAAATTGCCATCATTATATGATTGGTCTTTTAACGTATCTATTGCATTTATTATTGATATAAAATATTATATATATATCGGACAAATGAATTGTCTTAATAACAATAACGAAGTTATAATAGAAAACATTCATAATAAAAGGTGTAACTAAAGCTTATAGCGAGGTAATTTTAGTATGGTCTCTTATATATGGGACCAAGCACTGTGGTATTACAAGAGCGAATTTGACAAGGTAACCATTCTACGAAGAAATTCTTAATTACTACTAATTTTGAAATATTTCAATGGTGCATTAACATGTGCGTCAAATCTTTACAATGGAAATTTAATATTTATAAATCTATGATCTTCAAAATTTCTTTCTCTTATAACCTTTTCTATCTAATTAATTCATCACTTTAAACTTTTAATAGAAAAAAATAGAATTTTAAATTCAATAAATTTTAACAAATCATTACGTAAATGGGAGATTTATATTCTAATGAAAGTGAAAGTATAAATGTTGAAGAGGAAAAATTCCGTCAGTACTTGAAATTAGTTGAAAGGGGAGACAGTGATGCACAATTTAATCTTGGAGAATGTTATGATAATGGAATTGGAACCACGAAAGACGAATAAAAAGCATTTCAGTGGTACCTGAAATCAGCTGAAGGAGGAGTAATGGACAACTAAATCTTGAAAATTGTTATGAAAACCATAAAAGATGAAGAGAAAGCATTCCAGTGGTACCTGCAATCGGCTGAAGGGGAAACCACATGGGACAAAATATTCTTGGAAGTTGTTATTTTGATGGGTTTGGGACCATAAAAGATGAAGAAAAAGCATTTCAGTGGTACCTGAAGTCAGCTGAAGGACGAAGCAGTGATGGACAAGTAAATTTTGGATACTGTTATTTCAATGGGATGGGAACCATAAAAGGTGAATGGAAAGCATTTCAGTGGTTTTTAAAATCAGCTGAGGGAGGAGACCACTTAGGACAAAATAATCTTGGAAATTGTTATCAAGATGGAATTGGAGTCATGAAAGATGAAGAAAAAGCATTTCAGTGGTATCTGAAATCAGCTGAAGGAAGAGACCACATGGGACAAAATAATCTTGGAGTATGTTATCAAGATGAGTTTGAGACCATGAAAGATGAAGAAAAATCATTTCAGTGGTACCTGAAATCAGCTGAAGGAAGAAGCAGTAATGGACAACTAATTCTTGAAAATTGTTATGAAAAGGGGATCGGAACCACAAAAGATGAAGGGAAAACATTCCAGTGGTGCCTAAAATCTGTTGAAGGGGGAAACCACATGGGGCAACTAATTCTTGGAAATTGTTATCGAGATGGAATTGGAGTCATGAAAGATGAAGAAAAAGCATTTCAGTGGTATCTAAAATCAGCTGAAGGGGGAAATCACATCGGACAAAATAATCTTGGAAAATGTCATTATGATGGGTTTGGGACCATAAAAGATGAAAGGAAAACATTTCAATGGTACCTGAAATCAGCTGAAGGAAAAAATTACATAGGACAAGTAAATATTGGATATTGTTATGAAAAAGAGATTGGAACCACAAAGATGAAAAAAAAAGCATTCCAGTGGTATCTGAAATCAGCTGAAGGGGAAATCACATGGGACAAAATAATCTTGAAAATGTTATTATGATGGGTTTGGGATCATGAAAGATGAAGATAAAGCATTCCAATGGTACTGAAATCAGCTGAAGGAGGAGACCACTTAGGACAAAATAACCTTGGCCATTGCTATCGCTATGGAATTGGAACTACAAAAAATGAAGAGAAAGCATTCCAGTGGTTTCTGAAATCAGCTGAAGGAGGAGAAAAATTAGCACAAAATTCAGTTGAATATTTCTACCGAAATGAAATTTTATATGTTATAAAAAAAAGAACATCAATGTATTAATTGTGAAAATTTAAATCAATTAAATAATACATGTTCAGATTGTAAACTTATAGAAAAGCCGAAATGGACTAGTTGTAATTATGATATTGACAAGATTATTCAAATGACTCAATCAGATAAAAATGCAAATGAATGGGAAATTTGGAGATGGATAAATTATAATAAATTGAAAAACATAGAATATTTAGCTGAAGGTGAGTTTGGAAGTATTTGGAAAGCAGAATGGATAGATATGCCTGAAGAGGTATTTGAGCTTTATAATTCAAATCAAGTTGTCTTGAAGAAACTTAAAAATTCACGAGAAATTAGTTCTGGATTTTTAAAAGAGGTAAATATTAAATATATCAATATATTATGATAATTTTAATATAATATATAATAATTTTTTTTAAATTTAATTTTTGTAACTATAGTTAACTACAAATTTCCAATGCCGTGATAATATATTTTACCAATTTTGGGTATAACCCAAGATCCAATGACAAAAGAATGTGCAATTGTTTTACGACATATGAAAAATGGAAATTTGAAAGAATTTCTTGATCAAAATAAAACTTTACCTTGGATTGAACGATTATGGTTATTAGATTCTTTTATTAGCGGATTAAAAGTACTTCATAGTAAAGGATTTGTCCATCATGATATTCATCCTGGGAATCTTATGATAACTGAAATATATAATTCAAAATATAGATTCATAAGATTAAGAGATTTAGGATTATGTAGATTAGCAAATGAATCTGAAGCATATGGTGTATTACTATATGTTGCACCTGAAGTATTGAATAAATTTCAATATTCACAAGCTTCAGATATTATAGTGTTAGAATTATTATGTGGATCATTTCAACAGGAAAAAGACCATTTGCTAACAGAACATATAATTCAGAATTAGCTGTTGATATTTTCAGTGGATTTCGACCAAAAATCAATAAAGGCACACCTCAACATTATGTAGAATTAATGGAAAAGTGTTGGCACAAAGATACATCTGAGCATCCAAGTGCTGAAATGATTTGTGATATATCAGAAAGATGGATTGAGAATTTGCTGTATAATATTAAAACAGAAAATTCACTTTTTTTTTTTTTTTTTTTTTTTTTTTTTTTATATTCAACAGAGTCTTGCTCCAATAAACTTTATTAATAGATAAAGTGTAAATTTTAGAGATACAGATAATTTATTTTACATTTATTGAAACTGACTAAAAATAAAATTTTATGGTCTGACTCATTGTTGCCTAAGTATAACCTCAGGAACTGATGGCCAAAACCCCATCAGATATAATGATTATATCTATAATTATAATTAATATCATATTTGCATCCTAAGTTTATTCACATTCTAAATTTATGCATTGTACTTTTTTCTATTAGTTCAATTTTATTATATTTTCCCCCAATAGATTCTACTGATGCTGAACTACTATCAATGTTCTTATCACGCAAAACAATTGAGAAATTATAAAACAATTGAAGAATTATGGAACAATTATAAAATTGCGAACAATTGTGAAATTGTAAAACAATTAAATATATATGGATTTTTATCATAATTTCATCTAAAAAATCTGTAATATTGAGGATTTGAAAAAATAAT